GAGGTGCAGGGGGTGAAGCTAAGCAAGCCTACCCAGCTCTCCGCCCGAGATGGAGAAGTCCCTCTCGAGAATCGCCCACTTCTGGATGTGGTAGGGCCGGGCGGCCGCGTTCCCGTTCACCCGCCGGATGCCCTCCTCGATGGCCCGGTACACGGCCTCGTCCTTGCGGCCCACGATGTCGGACACCCGGGTGGCCCTGCTGCCCACCCGCTGGCAGAACTCCACCGCCTGCTCCGTCAGCATGTCGGTCGGCTCGCATGTGTCCGGGTCCAGCGTGCACTGCAAAGCGGAGACCATCAGCCGCGCCTCCCCCACAGGACGCAGCCCGTCCGGAAGAGTCACTGCCGGAGCCCGGAGGCCGGGCCTGCGAGCTGTGGTTTGGGGGTGCGGCTGCCACCCCAATGGGTGGAAGGAGCAGAGGTCTGAGCTCAGAGCTCAGAGACCTCGGAGCGAAACCGTGACCGAGAGCAGGGCCCGCAGCTCCTGCCTCGTCCGGCAGCTGGAGCCGCGCCTGCCGAGCAGGTGGCTGTCCCAACAGCGCGCTGCTGCCCGCACCCCCGGGGGCAGCGGAACCTCCCTGGGGGACGGCTGCCCGTTCCCGAGCCCAGGCCCGACCCAGCGTGCACTGTGTGAATGCGGCCTCGGGCGGGCCGGGCGGACCCACCTTCAAGGTGAGCAGCATGGACAGGAACTTCCTCTGGTCCCCGATGAGCATGGCGCTGCTCACAAGCGGCAGCTCCGTCTTCACCGCCTCCTCGATGGGCAGCGGGGGCACGTTCTCCCCGCCCGCCGTGATGATCAGCTCTGGGGGGCAAGGCCAGGCTGGCTGAACCAGGACTCAGCCCTCGGGGGGGCCAGAGGAGCCGGTGGAGAAGCCGCACCCCTGAGCCCCTCTGACCTCCCCCCTCCCCCCTCCCCTCCTACCTCCTACGTCACCCCTCCCTGCCTCTCACCCCTGCAGGCACTGTGCCACCCGCCATGTGTCAGTAACTCACTTCACCCTCACCACAGACCATGACGGGAGGGCAGCCTTCCCATTTCACAGACGAGGAAACCGAGGCACAGAGCGGTTCAGTGACTCGCCCTTTCAGTGCAGCGCCGTCCAGAGCCCGTGCCCTCGCCCAGGCGTGCTCACTCTGTCCTCGGGACACCCTCTCCTTCTCCCCACTGTCCGACAGGCCGCCTGTTCTGCAAGGACCAGCTCTGCTGCCTCCAAGCAGCCTGGTCCGCCTCTCCCGTCACTGATGCCTTCTCTGCGCATTCTCATCAGGTGTCTGCCCCTCCTCAGGCCCCCCTGCCATTCGCCTGTGCACGGGGGGGGGGGGGGGGGGGGGGGCTGCCGCTCTGGTCTGTCCTCTGAGGGCGGCTTCCTCCTGAATAACGACCCTCAGTCACTTCGGCGACACTGTCCTCCTGCCCCCGTTCCGCCCAGTTTAGCGAAGGGAAGCTGGTCCCACTCTGTGCACAGCTCAGTGCCGACCCGGGCCCCGGTGGATGTTGCGTCACTCGGGCCAATGGAGAAACACTAACGTTTATGTCTTCAGATGTCCTGCAAAGACTTGCCTCACTTCTCTAGGGAGCCTGAGTCCTGGCTCCACGTCTACCGGCTGGGTGGCCCCGGATGAGTGCCTTAACCTCTCTGGCTTCCTCATTAGTCATAACACGGTGCCCACTGCGGCGGAGGCCCCCGAGGAGGCACTGCCCTTGCAGGTGTACATGGTGGTGGCCCGGCGCCCCCACCCCGACCCTCACACCTTTGAGACGCCCCGTGATGTAGAGAAAGCCGTCGCCGTCCAGGCGCCCGAGGTCGCCGCTGTGCAGCCAGCCGTCGGCATCGATGGCCTCGCGCGTCTTGTCCTCCATGTTCAGGTAGCCCATGAAGACGGTGCGGCCCCACATGCAGATCTCGCCGATGCCCTCCGCATCCTGGTTCACCAGCTTCGCCCGGCAGCCGGGCACCACCTTGCCGGAGCTGGGGGGGGGGTGGCAAGGGCAGAGAGAGGCCTGGTCAGAGGGAGCCAGTCCCTCCAAGGCCGGGGATCAGCTCCCAAGGGTCCTGGGATCCCCAATTTCTCAGTCTTCCCCCATGGCCAGAGGTGCCCCTCCCAGGCCTCTTGTATTCTAACAGGGCCCGGAGCTGAGCAGCAGGGCCCAGGAGAGGTTTCAGGTGAATGAGTGAATGTGAATGTCCTGATGACAGGACTCAGGCTCTGGGACGGCTGAGCAGGGACGGGAGGCAGTTCAGCTCGAGAGATGACCTTCACTCACTTCTCAGCGCTGACCGTCCTCTCTGCCCACCAGAGGCCGGCCCTGCCCCAGCTCCCACCTTGTGGCTGGGCCCTCGGCGATGCTGGGGCACCTAGCACTGTGGGGTACACGGAGACTCCTCCCCCGGAGCCCTGCTTTCCACCATAGGCTGGGAAGCACAGCAGAGACCAGCTCCCTCGGACGGAGGCCTGGCAGGAGGCCCTGGGGACCCCAGAAGTGTGAGCAGGGCGGGTGCAGGCACCGCCTAGGGTACCTGTACAGCCGGAAGTTGCAGGGGCTGGACATGAAGTGGGGGCCCGAGGTCTCGCTGAGGCCGTAGGCCGAGTACAGGCGGATGTTGAGGCCCAGGAAGAAGCGCTGTGTCTCCGCGGTCATGGGGGCTGCTCCGTAGAAGCTCTTCCGACACTTGGCGAAGCCCAGCGCCTGGCGGACCTTGGCCAGCACCAGGTAGTCCGCCAGCCTGGCCGCGAAGGGCTTCAGGTCGCTGGAGGGAGAGGGAGCAGGGGCCAGAGGAGATGACACACGCGCCCTCTCTAAAGGGCTGGACACTCAGCCGGCCAAGGGCTCAGCGATGAGAACATCTCCCGGATGCGCCCGAACTCAGGCCGACCCCTGGTCGGGGCGCGTGCAAGGATCTCCCTCCCACTCTCCTCTCTCTAAGCCACAAACTAAACCTTAAAGAGACAGGATGGGTATTCAGTGGGTCGCACTGGCCTGGCCTGTTCTCTCCTGACCGCTTGGCACCAAGGCCCAATCCATCACTGAGCAGTTCACCTACTGGCCCTGTATGAACATGCGTGCATACAGAGGTGCATACATGTCTCGAGCCGGGAAACAGACTGAGCTGTGTACGGGCACACAGGCCACCAGGAGTACACGTGTGCAGAGACTGGAGCAGTCACGCCTAGACACCCCTGGGCAGACGTGTGGGAAAGCCTGTAACTGCGCCGACACGCACAGCCCCTTCACACCTGTGCACATGAAGCGCAGGTGCAGACACGTGCACACGTCTCATGAGACGGACACCGGCCACGGAGTATTTCTAATCCGGTCCAGGCCAGACTCATGCACCAGCCCCCGCAGCACCGTGTGTGGGTTAAAAAGCAACTGCGAGGCCACTGGGAGGCTGGGAGGCCGGGAAAGCCCACCCCCCTGGCCCCTGCTCCCGGGAGGGAGTCAGGCCTCACGGTCAGAACCCAGAGGCGGGGAGAGGATGGGGCTCTGCACAGGCTCCCAGCTCGGACAGGCCGGGGTGGCAGGGGGGGGGGAGGGTGGTGGTGCACACTGGGGCTGTGACCCCGCCCTCCGTACCTGCTGGGGCAGGTGAGGTTGTGCTCCAACATCACCGCCATGGCCCACAGGAGCATCTTGCGCCGGATGAAGCCAGACTGAGCTGCCACCTCCTGGATGCGCTCCATGATCTTCTCCCACACCCGGGGCACCCCCATGTGCGAGGTGGGCTCCACCTCCCGCAGCGTGTCCACCAGGCTCCCCTGCCCGCCGCAGAGAGGGGGGCCCCGGTCAGAGCCGGCGCGGTAGGAGGCCCTGTGCCGGGGTCAGCGTGCACCTGGCTCCGGCACCTGTTCCCATGCGGACGGGCGCCCGCCACCCGCCCGCATCGCAGGGCACAGGCTGTCGGCTGCGGCTGCTCTTTCCTCCAACGGAGCCTGATGCTGCTCAGAGGCTCCTGAGGTCCTGGGTGACTCCTGGTCTAACTACGAGGCGACAGCCGCCCCCTAAGCCGTGACTGGGTTCGGAGTCGACCTGTGACCCCACCTGGGCCAGTGTTAGGCCTCCTGGGGGAGCCACCCGGGGCTCCTGGGAAGTCCCCTGTGGCTAAAAGGACCCAGAGCACAGGTAGCAGACGAGGCAGGCGTGGGGCAGGGTGGGGCGGGGCCACGTTCGACCACCTGTGACTCCCTCTGAGGATGTGTCCTTGGGCCACGGCCCACAGAACCACTGACTGGACTTTCTCGTTTAGCTGCTGGAGGTGTGCTGACTGCAGCGGGAAGACCTCTGACTGACACAGGATGGGGAGCCGGTGCAGCCCAGCGCACACCCATCCCCATGAGCACACACGCGGGTGGGCCCTGGCACACATCCGGGGGCCCCCAGGCGGGCAGAGGGCACACTGACCTTCAGGGCGTCGGGCTGGGCAAAGCAGACCTGGGCCCCCCACTGGATGCCCGTCCACAGGTCGTAGATCTGGGCGGCGATGTGGCTGAGCGGCAGGTAGCTGACCACCACCTCCTGCTGGACCTCGGCGGGCTGGATGCTGCCGGCCTGGCTGCCGTACCGAGCCATCCACGTGATCTGAGGACGAGGGGCGGGCCCGCAGGTCTACATGCCACCCTGGAGACGCTCACGTCTGCAGGGGCCCGCGGGCCTGGGCTCTTTCTCTGGGGGACCCCTGGAGTGTCTGCCCCCCTGGGCATCTCTGCAGGAAACCCCCATGGACAGCCCCCCCCATCGCCCCTACTCTGTGCTGGGTGCCGTCTGGACCACAGACTGCCTGTCCCACGCATCCCTGCTCCCCGAGCCAGGCCCAGAGGAGCCGCCCAGCCCACCCCGGGGTTCGGCCTACGTTGTCCTGACTCAGCATCACGCCCTTGGGGCTGCCGGTGGTGCCAGACGTGTAGACCAGCGCGCAGCACTGGTTGGGCTGCTGGGTGCTGAGGATGGCGTCCAGGTCCTCCTCGGGCACCTGGCCCCCCAGCTCCATGAGCTCCTCCATCTGTGGGGGGGGGAGAGGGCGGGGCCCGGGTCAGCGGGCGGCCCCGACGCGCCCCCCCCCCCCTATGCCCAGGCCTCTGCCATACCGTGTACACGCTGGCCACCTTCTCCACGGGAGTCTCCCCATACATCACCACCGCCTTCAGGTGGGGCAGGTTTTCCCAGATCTGTGTGACGGAGACAGGGAGCTCCACTGAGAACAGAAAGGCCACCTCCTGGGACGAGCCCGTTGCTGGGGGCCGTCTGCGGGCGGAGGCTTTGTGGGAATGGTCACTGGGCTCCCCAGTCAGCCTCTGGCCCAGCAGGACCCGGCCTCCCGGCTGCTTTCCCGTCGGAAGGCCGTGGGCGAGTGGGGCAGGCGGGGTGGGGAGGACTCTCCTGGGAGGACCGTGTGCCCGCACAGCGAGGCGGAGAGGGAGCCGGAGAGAAACACAGCACAGGTGGCTCACGGACTTGGGTGATGGAACCAAGCGGGGAAAGCCGGGTGCACAGGAGACAACAGGGACGCAGGTGGCAGCATGTAACCCCGTCAGCCTTCCTGACATTAACATGGCGCACATTCCAGCCCACAGCGCCCACAGCGCCCACAGCGCCCACAGCGCCCACAGCGGCAGAACGCCTTCTTTCAGACACGCACGGGCTGTTCCCCGGGGCACAGCCTGGCCTCCCAGACCCTCGGCACTGCGGGTCCCAGACCACCGCGGCCAAGCCAGCCGCCATCTTTGTGCTGTGGAGGGTCTCGCCTTCAACGTGTAAAAAACACAACCGTGGCTGTCCCGCGTGGCTCAGTGACTGAGCACCGACCTATGACCCAGGAGGTCAGGGTTCGAATCCCGGTCAGGGCACAGGCCCGGGTTGCGGGCTTGATCCTCAGTGTGGGGCGTGCAGGAGGCAGCCGGTCCATGATCCTCTCTCGTCACTGATGTATCTCTCTCTCTCTCTCTCTCTTTCCTCTCTGAAATCAGTAAAAACATCTTAAAAAAACAAAAACACCACCTGGGTGAGGCTCGATCAGACAGACAATTCCCGAACACCACGCTGCTGGCAGCCACACCCACCGGCTCTGCACCCAGGCTGCTTCAGGGGGCACAGGGCCCCGTGAGGACAGACAAGAAGGCGAAGGAGAAGAGTCCTGAAGGAGGACTTCACGCCGTTGCTCACGAAATGATTAATTCGGGCAAAGGTCGTGAGCGGAGTCAGGTTGACCCGGACGTCGAGTGGCCACCTGGACGCCCAGGGAATTGCAGCCTCTGCACAGCGTCTCACCTGCCCTCACCCGCCCGGCGAGGTGGTGCAAGGTGAGGTTAACAGCACCACCTACAGGGAGCTCCGGCCCACAAGGTACGTCCTGAAATGCAGGGCCCACGTGATCTCGCGGGAACAGAGCACTGAGGTGTGGGAGGCGGGTGACCGGATCCTGCAGGCTCTCACCCATGAGCCCGATCAGCGTCACCGGGGGCGTGCGGAGCCGAACGTGGCCTGGGGGGCCCACACCCTGAGTTTCTGAGGCTGTGGGTCTGGGATGCGGCCCGAGGACCCACATTTATTTTTATTTTTATTGATTTCAGAGAGGAAGGAGAGGGAGGGAGAGAGAGAAACATCCATGATGAGAGAGAATCACAGATCGGCGGCCTCCTGCACGCCCCCTACTGGGGATCAAGCCCACAACCCGGGCCTGTGCCCTGACGGGGAATCGAACCGGGGGCCCTTCAGTCCGAAGGCCGGCGCTCTACCCATCAAGCCACACTGGCCAGGGCAAGGGACCCAGATTTCTAACCAGCGCCCAGGCAAACCAAGGCTGCTGGCCGGGGCCGCACGGGTCTGTGGCTTGAGGGGCAGAGGTGGGGCTTTGACTTGAACTCAGACACTGAGGGACACCGGGGTGGGTTTAGTCCTGATTCCCACGCCGACTGTGAGAGACACCGGGTGTCACACGTGGACAAGCTATTCTACTTGTGTTGGACGGGACACAGTTACTGTGATTATTCAAGAAAAGTGTCCCTTTTCGAGACGCATGCTGGAATTTTCAGGGACGGAAAGGGCGCCGTCAGAGATCTGCCTGCAAATATTTCGGCACGAAGAGTGCGCCGGTGATGTCCCGCGCACTGGCTGTTCACCGGGCGATCGGCACCCCCGAGCCCACCGTCCGCCTCCGTGTTCCTCCGGAAACTTCCGTAACAACTTTAATCCGGGTGATTACTAGGCGCGACATTTCCTAATTCTGGCCCTCGGCTTCCGTTGCCAATGGGCCTGGGAGGGGGTACGTGGATTAGATCTACATCCGCGAGGGGTGTTGTCTCCCCGAGGGAAGGAACAAACCTCCGGGGGGCCTGAAGCTCTTATAGGGCCCGCCCCGGGATCGGAGGGGAGCTCGTGAGGAAGCCACCCCCACCCTCAGGAAGCCAGGCCCCATGAGCTCGCGGTGCCTGGTGGGTCAGGCACCTGCCACCACCCTCTGACTCAGTCCCTCATCCGTGTTGTGAGGGGCCTGGGGCTTCGGGGGAGGGGGGCTCCCAGCACAGTTCATTCTGGGCCGCATCGTCCACACCCCAGTCTCCTCGCCCAATCCCCAGCACTGATCCAAGCCAGACCGACCGACACACAGAACAGAAGGTCCTGAAACGCAGGGTCCCCAGGGGCAGTGAGGGGCCAGGCCCCCAAACAGGAAGGCAGCCCTCTCTCGGGGTCAGGGAGCCCATCTGATCAAAACCAAACCCCAGGTCCCTGTGCCTGGGAGAGAGGGTCTCAGCTCATCGCCACACGCTCCGAGGGGGAGCACCACAGAGCCCTGAGGGCGGGAGCTGGCGCCTCGCACACGGCGTGGGGCGCGTGGACAGGGCCCATCAGGGCGGCCTGACACCAATGAGGAGGCAGCACCCCTCCAGGAGGGACCCGCTGGCTCAGGAGGCGCTCCTAGCTCCTGCTGTGTCCTCGTCTGCAGAAGCCCCGACACAGCCTCCCTGAGGCCCCCTCGCCCTGTCCCTGGGAGTGAGACTCCGGGGCCCAGGGTGTCAGGGCCCTGTGCCACCCACGGGGCACACGACCCTTCCCTGGGCCCGGAACCCCAGCCCGCGGGGCCTGGCCCTGAGGTCACAGAGGCGGCTGGCTGAGAGCACGCTTCCTGGGTGACGTGGGGCATGTCCCTTGGACTTTCTGGCCTCAGTATTCTCATCTGGCAAATGGGTCTGAGTCCATGGGGGTGACTGAGGATGAAGGGGACTCTGCCAGGGGGGTGGGAAGTTCTCTGAAAGCTAGACGGCCCTGAGGACCCCAGTCTCAACCCCCACACCCCCATTACCCCCAAACCTTCAAGATCTTCTCCAGCTGCTTCTGTGCGTCAACCACGATGATGTTGGCGCGGCAGTCGCGGGCGATGTACTGGCAGGCCTCGGGGGAGCTGGTGGTGTAGATGCCGGTGACGATGCCTCTGCAGGGGACCAGAGGCTGTGTCCACGCAGGCCCGGCAGCCCCCCTCTGCCCAGCCCCAGCCCCAGCCCCACGGAGCTCCATGGCCAGGCAGCCAGGGCTCCCACGGACGCTCCCACAGCTGCCCAGGCAGAGGGGCCCGGGGAGAGGTGGGGTGTTGGGGAGGGGTGGGGACCTTTAAAAAGAAATAACCGCCTTCTCGTCCCTCCCTGCCCAGCTCCCGCCCCGGGGCTCGGCCCCACCCGCCGCTCACCCTGCAAACACGGTGCCCACGGCCGAGAAGAACCACTCCGGGGAGTTGAAGCCGAGGATGGCCACACTGTGCGCACGCTCCAGGCCGAGCTGCAGGCGGGACAGACAGCCAGGTCAGCCGACGGGCAAGGGCCTCCCGGGGCCGTCAAGACCCCTCCGAGGCCTCAGAGCCCAGGCCACCCGCCCGAGCAGGCCTGGGGCCCGCCCCCCAGCCCCCTGCTGCCCCTCAGCCCAGCACCCGCCTCTCAGCCCTTGGTTTGAATGTGCCCACACGTGCAAAGCCCCTATCAGGTGCCTGCACCGTGAGGGCTCCGTGCACGGGACACCCGGTGTGGGCCCAGGTGTCGGTCATCGGGGAGAGGCCCGTCGGCCCAGCGCGGGTGGGAGCCCTGGGAGGGAGGTCTCCCTCGGGGCCTCACCTTCAGGAAGCCCTTGGCAGCCTGGCGGGCCTGCAGGTAGTACTGGGCGTAGGTGATGCGCTCCCAGGAGCCCTGGCGCTTGAAGCCGAGCGCGTGGAGGTGCCCGTACTGCTCCAGGGCCCGGCAGAACATCTGGTGCACAGTGCAGGCGCGCTGCTGCGGGCAGCTGGGGTCCAGGCGCAGGCGGACCCGGCCGTCGGCCCGCGTCGTCCACAGCGCCTCCTCTGCGGGGTGGGGGCAGAGCACAGCTGGGGTCCCCTGGCCCCGGGCCGTCCCCAGCCACCCCGGCCCCCCACTGGGCAGAGCTGCCTGCCCTCTGGTCCCAACAACGCCTTGGGCACTGGCCCTGGGGCTGGAGGCAAGCCAGGGGCTGCCTGGAGGAGGAGGCTGACAGCCGTGGAGGACAGCACGGAGGAGAGGGAGCAGCGGGGGGAGGTGGCCTTGACCAGCCCACCAGCTACGAAGCCTGTTCTCAGCAAACGTCTCTCACTTTCACACGGACCATTTTTTTAAAAAACCAGACAACAGCACCTCCTTGTTCTAGGAAACCAAAACAGTTGGAGAGGATGGGCTGTGAAAGGGACAGGCCGACCCGCCCCCACCCCTCCAGGTCCCCGCGCGGACGTGGCGCGTGTCCATGTGTCCGTCCTGCGACAGAAACGCATGCGGGGGCGTCGGGTTTCATTCTGCGGCTGCTGCTTTCTTCTCACCCAAAGCGGGGAAGGATCATGTTGTATTAGTTGAGGGCGGCAACCCCACAGCCCTCGGGGGCCGGTGGGGCAGCGGGCCCACGTCCCCATCAATAATGGACGACGATCAATAATGCAGGAGCGAAGCGACCCAGGCGTCCGTGCGGCTCACAACGGCGGCGGCACAGGCCTCAGGCTCGCGCTCGGGCCCTGGAGACTCGCCTCGTCTTTCTGCTTCGGATACAGACGAGGAACGGTGCCCGCTCACTAGGAAGGCCACACACAGGGCAGCGGCAGTGACCAGCGGCCCAGCGGTGCGCGGGAGGCGGCAGGGCGGGCTGGCGACCGGGCTGGAGGGCACAGGCCTCCGGCCAGGGGGCTGCCGCCACCGCGCTGGGACCTGGTGCCCAGTTGGAAAGGAAACCAGAGTTGCCTGCAATCTGGGTGTTTATTTGTAATCACCTGGTTTTTAAAAGGCTGGCCCACACTTTAAAAAAAGAAAAGTATTATGGGAAAAGAAAAAGAAAAAAATACTACATGGACCAAGTCAAACACAGCCGCCCGCCACGCCTGCATCCTGGGCTCGCGTGGGTGCTGTCTCCCCCGCGGCGGGTGGGTGTGGGCCGGACGTGTGGGCCTGACGCCGCGGCCTGGCCTTGCCGTTCACTCCACTTCCCCTAATTTCTTCTGTCCCGGGATGGACTCCCCTCAGCTGCAGGCCCCAAAGGCAGAGCCAACGGCTCCTGGGTCCTGAGTGCAGGGCCCAGCCCAGGGCAGAGGTCAGGGCCTGTGGGGAAGGACACGGTAGCCCAGTGATGGTGAACCTGTGACACGCGTGTCAGAGGTGACACGCGAACTCATTTTTTTGGTTGATTTTTCTTTGTTAAATGGCATTTAAATATATAAAATAAATATCAAAAATATAAATCTGCCCTAACCGGTTTGGCTCAGTGGCTAGAGCATCGGCCTGCGGACTGAAGGGTCGCGGGTTCGATTCTGGTCAAGGGCATGTGCCTTGGTTGCGGGCACATCCCCGATACGGGGTGTGCAGGAGGCAGCTGATCGATGTTTCTCTCTCATGGATGTTTCTAACTCTATCCCTCTCCCTTCCTCTCTGTAAAAAAAAATCAATAAAAATATGTTTTAAAAAAAAAATATATATATATATAAATCTTTGTTTTACTATGGTTGCAAATATCAAAAAATTTCTGTATGTGACACGGCACCAGAGTTAAGTTAGGGTTTTTCAAAATGCTGACACGCCGAGCTCAAAAGGTTCGCCTTCACTGCGGTAGCCTCTCCCCGGCTCACCGCAGGCGGGCTGGACCGAAGGACCCCGTGCCCAGGGCTGGACCGAAGGACCCCGTGCCCAGGGCTGGACCGAAGGACCCCGTGCCCAGGGCTGGACCGAAGGACCCCGTGCCCAGGGACCAGGCCGTGGCCTCCCCCGTCCTCCCGGGCTGACGCCCGTCCTGCCTGCCCAGAGGCCCTGCCTGCCCTGTCCTCTGGCAGGAGTCCACTCGCCCAGGCTCGGGGCCTCAGCCTCGTGCCAGCAGCCAAGACCCCCGTGGGCGTGAGAGCTGCGAGGGCAGCGAGGCCGGGGCTTTCCCAAGGCGCAGCGTGCACCTTCTGCCCTCCCTCCCTCCTCCCCCCTCCCTCTCCGCTCTCCTGCTGCCAGGCCTTCTTATCAATCGCCCACTATGCGGGCACCGGGAAGACGGGCAGGCAGCTGTGTGCTCTCAGGGCCCTGGGAGAAAGGTGTTGAGGCTTTGTACTGCCGGAGGGCGGAGGGGAGCGGGTGCTTGCTGTGCCCTGTGGGAAAGGCCGGCAGGTTCCTTGTGCACAGCAGGGACACCGGCCCAGGGACAGATGTCTCCCCCAGGGCCTGGCCCCGACGCAGGCCCAGCAGGGTCCCTATGTGGAGAGGGCCCAGGCCAGGCTCTCGCGGAGGAAGGAAGAAGGGAGCCAGCCCAGGGAGCCCCATGGCCCCGGCACAGGAGAGACAGGACAAGGCCGGCCTGGCCAGCATGGTCTGTCTGGACCTCGCACGGTGGAACTGCGTGTCCTGGCTACAAGGCTGTGGCGTCCGGGGACCACCAGCTGCTGCCTCCCAGCTTCTCCCCGAAGGGTCAGAACTCCGAGTTCTGGCCACGATGCAGTGACCCTGGGCAGAGCCCGCCCTCCCTGGGCCCCGCTTCCCCGGCCGAATTCCACCGGGACGGGCAAGACGGCCCGTGAGCCCCCAGGGCCACCGTTTCGGCTTTCTGTCCTCACCCCGGGCCTGCTCTCGTCCAGGCCTGGACCACTGGGCGAGGACAGAGTCTGGGTGTCCCACCGGAGCCTGCGGCAGGGGCGTCCACACCTGCTGTGCACAGGCCGGGCTCCTGAGGGACCGGCAGGGGCGGACCCCGCGGCGTCTGAACGTCTGGGCCCCGTGGCCCCTGCCTGAGACCAGCAATGCCTGCCACTCGACGGGGTGCCCTCCCCCAGGCCCCGGGACTGCGAGCTCTGCTTCCCTGCCTGCACCCCTCGGGCGCCTGGGCTGCAGCCATGTCCTCCTGGGCACCAGCCCGGCCTCCTGACCTCTCCCCTGCATCCGGCATCCTGGGGGCAGGCGTGGGCAGCTCGGGGCCTGGACCGGGCCCAGAATGTGAGCTGACAGAACTGGACGTTCTGATGAGGAGACGGTTTCTACCGGGATCCCCGAGGCCCCGCTTTCCCTGGCTGCGGGGTGGGGGTGCAGGATGACCCCGTGCCCATTCTCAGGACAGGAGTCCCCGGGGGCCTTTCCTACCTGCTCCCTCCCCTCCCCCCCAAGCTGCCCTGACAGGGGGGCTCTCCCTGCCCCCCAGCCTCAGGCTGTGAACTTCCCAGGGCAAGGGGAGTGTCCCGCTCCTTCCAGCCAAACTCCACCCGCCCCATGCCCTTGAAGCGAGCGTTTGGGGAGGCAGAAGCGAGGGCAGAGCCAGGCCCGCACATCCCTTACCTCACTGGGCTGGGGGCCAGGCTGGGCTGAGCGCCCAGTGGGGTGGGAGTGATCGGAGACCTCCCAGCCCAGACCCGGCAGCTGTTCTGCCCCCTCCCCGCCCCGGTTCCAGCTGGGCTCACGCTCAGCCTGCAAGGTCTAGAGAGGAATGTGTGTCCATGGCCAGCACCAGGCTGTCCGGGGAGGGGGGGGTGTCAGATCCTGGCCGCCCTGGGGCCCGATCCGTGGGGGGGTGCTGCCCTTGGGAGAGTGGCCACCTGGGGGCCAGAGCTCAGGACCCTGGAGCTTCCGGGGAACTCGGAGACCTGGGTGCGTGTGTCCTGAAGGCAAGGCTCCCAGAGCCCCCCGAGGGCTACAGCCCAGCCATTAGCAGGCAGGGCCTGGGGGGACCCCAATCCAGGCACCTAGGTCCCCCAGAGGCAGCGTGGCCGTGAGGAGACCCCCTCGAGGAGCTTCGTGCGCTGGGAACACTGACCCTCTGAGCTCGGGCTCCCATCGAAGGAGAATGACAAAGAGCCCGCCCGCTGCACGCGGCCAGGGCAGCCCGAGACGAGCCCCTGAGCCTGGGGCTGGGGTACGTGCCCCTCCCTGGACCCTCCCTGCTTCTCTGGGGCTCAGGGGGCGCTGAGCTCCCCACACTGGCTCCCTTCCTGCCCGAGGGGCCACCACCGGGCCAGGACTCCGAGCGCCAGGGCTTCACGTGTGCCAGGCCCTGATGCCGCCGGCCACCGAGCACCAGAGGAACCGAGCCAGGGCGCGGCCGGCCTGCCAGGGGGACCAGCGAGTCAGGAGGCGCCCGGGCCTGGAGGAGGACGGAGGACGTGGGAGCGGGAGCCCCCCCCCCCCCCCCGGCGGAAACCAGTCGGTCCTCCTGGCCGGGCTCCTTCCTTATCTCTGGGGACGGGTGTGACAGGTGCGTCCACCTGGGAGGCCACCCCTCAGGCCAGGTCCCTTCCAAGGCCACTGAGACCTCAGCTGGGAAAGGGCGGCCTGACTGACGGCAGCTCAAGCCCCCCGGGGGGGGGGGGCACATGGTCTCCAGGGAGGCAGGTGGCCTGGGTCACCCCTTATGCCCCTGGTGCCCAGGCTCCTCAGGACAGCGGGCAGGGGCCTGTGCCCGCTCCCACCCTCCAGCCGCTGTGCTGTGACAGCACAGGGTGCGCCTGTCCTGTCCCCACCAGGCTGCCCTCTGAGCCTGGAGGGAAGAGGCTTTGGAACGCGGCCTGGCCTCTGCCCCTTCCTCCTGCCCCGGCTCTGGCCTCATCCTGCCCCGTGGGGAGACCCTTGGCACCGGCCTCCCAGCTGGCCACCACCCACGCCCCAAACCCAAACCCGTGAAGAAATGAGGCGGTGCCAGGCGTGCATGGATTGCAGGACACGCTGCAAACACACGAGCAGTTCAAACACGGCCGGACACTCGGCTCCCGCTCCCTGGCCAGCTCCCACCCAACACCCAGGGAGCGGGGCCCTGAGCAGCCTGACGCTGGGAGATTCACAGCCAGGACACCTGGCACCTGGGGGAGTGCGACCCACAGGTGACAGGCGGGTGGGCGGCCCGAGGACAGCGCAGCGGAGGCAGAGGCAGTGACCCCTGGCCGGGCTGCTCCATTTCCTAAGCTGCCGCTGTTGCCACAATGTCACTGCACAGCCAATAAAGAACCAATAAGGTGCGATTATCTGACGTGAAGGTCAGGGAGGGAGCACGTGACTCAGCCTCCAAAGCCAGCCCTGCCTGCGGCCTGGCCCTCGCCCCAGTGCCCCGCCAGCAGCGCCAGGGCCTCGCTCACCGCGCCTCCTCCGGCCTCGGCCCCGCCCCCTGAGCTCCCAGCTCCACC